GCGTACTGCCCAGACTGCAATGGGACGGCAAATGGACAGCTCTTCCAGGGGGTGCCCCAAGTGCTGAATTCAACCCTATGCTCAGAGGCTCCATAGTAGTTCCTTTTTGGGATTACCTTACAGGATTTTATATATGAGCCCCAAAACGGAACTACTATGGAGCCTATGGGTAGATACTCTGCATTCTGGGCCTTGAACCCACAGCCTTAAACTAGTCGTTCCGCCAACCCCCTTCCGAGCTTGCAAGTGGGCGGGTGAGAAAGCCCTCACCACTAAAGAAGTCTACCTGCAGCCTCTACTTCTGCTCTTGCTGCTTCTGTGGTACCAGCTTCAGCTTCGGGAAAGCCACGTTGGCGCCTGCGGGATGCGTGGCAGTGTCTGAGGGGCTCGTGTTGGGGCATGCTTGGGGCTTGCGATCCGAATGTAGCTACTTAAAAGGCTTCGGGAGGTCTTGTTTTGGGGGACTTCCTGTCTGGAGGTTAAGCATGGTTTCGGGTTGAAAGTGTCGGATTTCGGGTGCCGGGAAGTCTCTGTCGAGGAGATGTTTATGGAACTTTGCGGCCAGAGGGATGGTTCGAAAATCGGATCGATGTCGTAATGTCGGGTTAGGCCAGGTGGCAGCTTCGCCAAGGTATGAAGGGACGGACTGTGGTGTTTCAGATCACTAGGACCAGGACCAGCAAACCGTCTTGCTCTCAAAGCGAGCTCGGAAAACGCTCCGCAAGACCTGCAGAAAAACCGAGGTCCTGGTGGGCAGCCTTGCCAGAAACTGAAAGCACTTAATCCCGAACCCCCAACCCTTAACCCTGATAGACCCTAAAGCTGCACACCCTGAAATCCGAAAAAGCCTCAAAAGGACGCTTCTAAACCCTAAAGCCTTAGACCCTGAGGCTCTGTACCCTGAAGCCCTGAAAAGCATTGAAAGGGCATTTCGCACCTGGGTAGTTCCGACCCTCTCGGACATCTCCGGTTACGTAGAGCTCGTCACAAAGCCGCTCCTATCGAAGGAGCAGATTAGGGCTGAAAATCTTGGGCCTGGAGACTACGCTTTTAAGTTGGGGATTAAGGTTCGGGGTGTAGAGTTTAGGGATTCGCTTGGGAGTTTAGGGTTTCTGGGGTTTAGCATTTAGGGTTTAGGTACAGGAGTTTGGGGTTTCGGGTGGACTTGACTAGGATGTAGGTTGTGGGACACATGGACTTCACAGGACTTCGCAACCCCTCGGATAAGTACTGTACCCGCCTACAAGTCACGGAGGCCGGGAGACTGGGCGATCGGAACTTCACGAGGCGTGAGGCAGTGTCAGCTATGCAGGCTCTCATGTGCTACGATGCAAGTTGAAACCCCCTACTGTAAATCTCCAAACCCCACAGCGAAAGGCCCCAGAGCCCCAAGGGCCGAACTCTTGCACCCTCAACCCAAGCACTACTACCCTTACAGAACCCTCAGACAAACCTTGAGATAGAACCCTGAAACAAAAAGTTGCACCAACCTTCTGAAGTCCTGAAACCCCAAAGGCCCTAACCCCCAAAAGCAGTCCATGGCATCGCCGCCATAGTCTGCCAGTACCAGGCCATAAACTCGCCTGGGCAGGTTGCTTTTATAGGTGGCCCGCGCCCGAGAAAACGTGGGGGCTAGCGGGGTCCTGTTTTCAGCATCCGAGCTTTGCAAGAGAGCCGCGAAAGTTGATGGTGCTGGATGTTGGCCGATAGAACGACCATTGGGCCCTGTTAGACCCTCATCAAACCCTTATTAAGTGCATTCATTCCGGCTCCCCCCGTCCCTCTTACCTTTCTGAGGGTCCTTCTAAACGCAATTTTAAGTGTCGGGGCCTGGGATGGGTTTGCAAGCAACTCGGTGCTCTGCACGGCTGAGCACGCAACTTCGCATGACGCATCTGGAAACCTTAAACCCGAAAACCTGGACGCCTGAAGTTCAAGTCGCAAATTCTGTAGCCCTAAAGCCTCAACCCTCAAACCCTGCTCTATAAACCCCAGACAAGACAGACACCAAGCGCCGCCCAGCTTCGTGCCAAACTCCTTCCGCGCCCGGAAGATGGGTTCTTCGTCGCCCGTCCGCCTCGGCGTCGGCTGTTTATATGGGAGTTCCCCAAAAGTAGGGGTTCCTTATTTGGGGTCCCCATAATAAGGAGCCTCCTATTTATTTAGGGTACGATAGTAGGGTCTTCGGAAACTCACATATCGGGTCGCCGTTTACAGGGTGCGACAAGGCTGTCATAAAGGGAGTGCTTCTGTTGCTATTCGATGGTGCTCTGAATGTTTCAGAAGGACAACATTAACTTCAGAAAGGGCAAGACTGTAGGGGCTTCCCCAACGGCTACTGAAAAGGATCCAACACAACTACATTCCTTGAGCTTATAACGAAAGCCCAACAGCAGACCCTCGGGATGCTGGAAGTCCTTCCCACCGAGAGCGCCCCGAATGGAATACAAGAAAATTAAAATCAAGCGCCCGACTCTCAAATACAAAAAACCGAGGGGTTTAGGGTTGAGGGGCTTCGGGTTTAGGGTTCATGGTTGTAGGGCTAGGGTGTATCTGAACCTCACAGAACCTACTCGCTGAAGACCCGTATGAGGAAGTAAAGCGACTCTAAACAGCCCGGGTAATCAGGGTTCATGTAACGCACGATCTTCGCTCTTCTTGGGCCCTATAACCCTTTAAGTGGCACAGGAGAGGAAATATTCTGGATGTTGGTGCCCATCATGCTATCACTATAATAAGGAACCCCCCAAAATAGTATTGGTACAATTATCTGGGCCCCTATCTTAGCTGAACGGTCCGAGGTGCACGTCCAGCTGTCCATCGGTAACGATCAAGAGATCCTGGGGGCGACGGCCGAGCAGCGAAAACCCTCATGTAGGGGACCTGAACAGGGTTTTGGGGCCCAGACTACTATAGCTATACTATTAGGTAGGGGTGAATAATTAGAATAGGGTTTGGGGGTCCGGAATACTATAGTTATTGATTGAAAAGAAGGAAACCCCAAAATAGCATAGGTAATTAATGACTAAGGTCCCCCATAATAATTGAAGCTTGGGTTTTGGGTTGCGTGGGGTCTCCACCTTCCTGGACTGGAGCAGGGCTAGCCAAACTACGGTCATCGTGAAGGCAGCACTACAAGAATATGAAGAGAAAGGTATCACATAGTTCACACGCACAAACCGCCGAAACAGTATCCTACACAAAAACATGCCTGAAACAGTATCCGAAACAAAAACAGGCCTGACTTATATTAGCTGCGGAGAAGGCTCTGCGTTGCGCCAGGCAGCTTCCTGCAGCCGCTCTGCTGTCCGAGCTAGCGCATCCTTTCAGGGTTGGAAGTGTTGGGTGTTTTAGTTGCTTTTTTGGGGTGGTTTAGGGCTTTACGGTCTTAGGGTTTATCGGGATTTCGGGCTTTAGGGATTGATGGTGCAACACCTCACTCGTGAAATCGCTGGGTCCTCCAAGTAGGTTCCGCCGCCGAAGCTACTTCTCAGGAAGGTGAGCACCTTCCTGCCAGAGGAGTTGGTTTAGGTTTAGGGTTTAGGGCATTGGGTTTAGGGTTTAGGGCTTTGGGTTTAGGGTCTAGGTAGAGACCACCTCCTCCCTCTCTTTCCGTCGAGCAGGATCCGGTTCCGGATGTTTGAGTTTGCCAAGGTCCACTGAGGTCATTGGTGGGAGACCAGAGGGAGGACGCTTACATTACAGATTTTGGGATGGGATCCCACAGGACCCCCTAAAAGAGCCCTGGTCTCAGCATGGTGTCGGTCTTGGCGAATCGGGATCGCTGGACTTTTCGGGCTTCAGCAAAAGGCAGAGCCCCGAACCAGGATCGAAGGAGGCCGCTCTTGATATGTATGGGCCTTCATTAATGTGGGGATCTCTTTAAAGCTGCTCTGACGATCGGTAGGCTCCATGCTTTTGGCTCCTTAGTATGGGAAGGACGTATTCTGTTTGGATGGCCTCCACGCTGCTGGTAGCAAACATGGAGGTCTGAAATTGCAGCCGAAAAGCATCTATCGCCGTCCATATGTGCATGTCTGATGGGTTCTGACCAAGCATAGTCGTAGTTTCACTCTGGAATCATCCCATATAGTTACAGCAACAACGCACCACGATGGAGGCGGACAAAGGATAGTGCTTCTATCAACTGGATCCGAAAAAATGAAATCAAGAATCCCACGCACATCAACCCTAAACCCTAAACCCCAGTTTGAAGAATCCCCACACACATCAAGACACGGACAGCTCCCAGAAGGTCCTGAGACCAGCCTGAGACATGTCCAGCTCAAGCTCCTTCCTGCTCTCGGGGGTCGCTGAGTGGCTTTCAGGGTTTTAGGGTCCGGGGTTTTAGGGGTTTAGGGGTTTAGGGTTTAGGGGTTTAGGGGTTTAGGGTTTAGGGGTTTAGGGTTCAGGGGTCTAGGGTCCGGGGTTTTAGGGTTTAGGGTTTAGGGAGTTGTGCGATACTACCACACTTATAGGGTTCATTATCTACGGGATTCTAGACAAGATTGCCCGGACTAGGACGTCCAGGACAACGGCTCAAAGTCGAAAAGCTCCTATGTGCAAGGCTAGGCCTCTCGCTGGAAGCGATGTCGCTCACTGGATCAAGTTGGGAGCTTCCGAAAATAGGAGACCCTACTAAGGTACCCTCAATACTAGGACCCTTATTAAGATATTAAGAAGGGCGTCAGAATAAGATACCCCTAACTTTCGGAAAACTCCCATTTCGCTCACTGGATCAGGTTGGGGGGGGGGGGGGGGGGAGGCGATTGTGCATTTTCCAGGACACTGGGGGTGGAAGCCTGGGCAGTAAAGCGTAGGGACCTAATTAAAAAGCAACGATATGAGTAATCATAGGAAGAAGAATGACTATGAGAATACTACTAGCAAAAAAAGAGTAATCATGCTAATGAGAATACCAATAATCATCGTGAAAATGATACTACTAGCAGTAATCATAACACTTCATAATTATATATATGATACTAATACATACTTATTTATATATATACACACACACACACTTTATTCTCATAGTATGTATGATGTGTATATCTGGAAAACCTGCGGGGTCGACTACTGCCACTGAGCAGCAGGTCACCCATCCCAGAGAAGGCGTAGAGGTAGCAGGGGCGATTCTGTCGATGCGCCTGCCTCAGCACAATCGATCATGCTGTGCTCCGACCGCGAAGGGATATCTGGTGAGTATCAGATGCAAGGTCCTGTTCGTACCCACGGTTTAGATAGCAACGAATCTTTATCAAAATGCAACCACCCCTTGCTTGCAAGAGGCCGGACACACTCCACCACCAGGGCTTTGCTGAGGACTTCTCGCTGCCCACTCCTCGGCTGTTCCGAGGGCTTTGGGGTCTTTGTGGTGGTATAATGAGCTCTCAAACTTTCGAGCTTGCAGGCTAAGGGTCGAGGGTTAGTGTATCGTGCTACAAAGCATTGCATGATAAGCCGCTGCTTTTAAAGGCATTTCCGAAGAAACTCACAAAACAAACTCAACCTCTTCCAAGTAGCATGCTGCCGCTGGTGTCTAAACACCTGGCCAATATCAGAGCACTACGCTTGCAAGCTTTGGTGTTTCGCGCAAACCCAAAACCCTAATGCCCTCAAACCCTAAAGCAGACATTCCGAGACCCTAAACCCCGGAACCCCACAAGGCGACATCCTGAAAATCGAACGTTCAAAGCCCAAACAGCAAACCCCTCTCTCCCTCGGATAAGGTGGTGCGGTATATGTTTTACAAAATATTGTACTATTCCTTTAAGGAGCCCCGAAGGAGTAAAGCCAGAACCCGAGAGCCCCACCGGATTCTGCATCCACCGAAACACGCCAGCAGCGCACGATCAAAGGCCCAGCTTCACCCAAAGGACGCATCTCAAACCTGTTCTGTTAGGGCTTTCAACCTTGTTTAGGATTTTTGGGATAAGGTAAGGCTTGCTTTAGAGCTTAAAGTCTCGGGCGGGTCTTTCGGTTAAGCTTCCGGGCGTGCAATGAGGGTTCTGTCGCATGTCGTTGCGATCATTATCATCGGCATTCCTCCAAGCCTGAACATGCTCACATCATGGATTTGCAGAGGCGTCTAGTAAGTGCCCCACAAGTAGAACGGCTAGAACCTGTAAGAGCCTTATAAACTCAAAGCCGGAGCCTGCCAGACGCCTTCGCCGAGTCCTCGAGCCAGGCAGAGCGGTCGTAGCAAAGCAGCGACTGCTCAATGCGACGCGAGTGATGTAGCGAGCGAAGCCTTGCAAGGGACGTTAGGGCTTTAGGGCTTTGGATTTGTGGAGCGTTCTAACAGTTTCAGAAAATTGGGGGTTTAGGATTTGGAGTGTTCCAGAAGGTTTAGGCTTTGGAGCCGTAGGCGTGCCGGGTTCTGGGCTTTCGGGTTTGGAGGAGCCTTGGGCCTTGGGGTTTGGGATCAGGCCCCGTAAGCTTCACAGGCCTCCTTCTCTTAGCCCAGAAGACCCCATCGTCTAAACCTTCAAGGGCCTAGGGTCGCATCGGGGGCTTCAGGGTTTCATGGTTTGAGGGTTTAGGGGTTTGGGGCTGGGCGGGCTTGGGTGATTAGGGGTGAAGGGGGTTTGGGGTTTAAGGGTTTAGGGGATAACCCTAAACCCTAAACCCGATAGGATCTGAAACCTCCACACAAATCCAGCTGAAGCAAACCGGGAGCTCTGTAAAGCTCGAGCAAATCTCCGCGAAAGTCTCTGATTACGCGAAGGGATCTTTAAAACTCAAAACCCTATCCTTCTAAACCCGGCCAGAGCCCCAAACCCATGAAACCCTGAATTACTAAACCCTGTACGTAAAGGCCTTACAAAAACTGCAGGGGAGACTATTTAGGTACAAACCTGCCCCATAGAACAATTTGGGTTTGGGGCTCTATATCCAAACTCCAAAAGGGACCACAGCCGTGCACATGTCTTCTTCATACCTCGACAGCCCTACACCCTTATCCCTTGTTTTTACAGATTTGCAGGAACCCTTTCACGGACCCAGCCTAAAGACTTACAGTATCTCTTGCTTAAGGAAGCTATAGTGATCAGAAGAACCCTTTCAAACGACCCTACTCGACGACCCAATACCACCCTTCAAAGGGAGCCCATTATAGAACCCAATAGTAGTAGTACCCTTTACTTTAAAGGGTCCCCCCGAATAGTAATAGCACCCTTTACAGGGACCCTATTTTATAGAACCCGATACTACCCTTTAAAGGGACCCCATTATGGAACCCGATACTACCCTTTGAAGGGACCCTATTTTGGAACCCGATACTACCCTTTGAAGGGACCCTCAATCCGCGTCCGAAGGGCATGGGCACTTTCGCCGCTAGGAGCTGCGCCTCACTGGGCAACATGGTGTCCCAGGTGCCTTGGAGGTTGGGGTTTGGGGCTTAGGGCTTAGAGGCTTAGAGGGTTTAGTTTTCCGGGTTTAGGGTTTCGGGTTTAGGGCTTAGGGTCTTGGGTTTGGGGCTAAGGGATTTTAGGGCTTAGGGCTTACAGGACTTTTTCAGACAAGTTTTGTGTTCGGGGGCACTTTCCGTGACTTTCGAAGCTGTCCGAGGTGCCTGCGAGGGTAACGCCGCTGGACTCAGCGGGAGCCGCCGGTGAACGAATCACACCGTCCGGGGCTCCATCTCTGAAAATCTCCTGGCATTTCGGGCTTAGTTGTTGCTTCTTTCTGGAAGGGTTAACTCTCAAATAAGGCTAAAACAGCACGGAACCACGTCCCGAAATTTCCCAAACCCTAAGGCTTAGGCATCTCCTCCGGGAGTTTGTGCAGCGGGCCGCGCACCGCACTCCGGCGCCCGAGCTTCCGAATCAGATCTCGCAGCTCGGGGCTCTTCCGGAGGATCTTGGCGAGTTGCTGTAGCCTGGGCATTCGTAGCTAGGGCTATGAAAATAGGGAAATAGGGAAGCAGGGGAATAAGGAAAATAGCGGAATAAGAGAATAAGGAAGCAGGGAAAAGGGTGACCTAAGTTCAATATTCTAGACCCTAAATATGGTAACTATACTTGTTCTTATAGTAACTAGGGTTAAATAAATATGGTAACTATACTTATAGTTACTTATAACCCCAGCTAAGGTACTTATAAATGCTACCACCCCCTTGGGGTTATCCACCCTTTTTGTGCTTTCTTCCGCCTAAGGGCCTAAGTCCTGAACCTGAAAAAGCCCTTCAGTATAGGGGTTCTGGAGGGTCGTGGTGTCCCGACACGCCGAACTCTAAACCCTACAACCCTAAACCCGAAACCCAAAAACCCTAAATCCTGAACTCCAAACCCTATAAACTCTAAACCTCAACACCCTAAACCATGTCAGTGGACGCAAATTCTCACAATGCATTGTCAAACAAACCCACGAACACCCCGTGGTCCGACCCTACCCTAAAGCCAAACTACCATCGCCTACTTTTTCTGTAGCCTCTTCTCATAATTATTGTTCTTCTTCTTCTTCCTATTGATAGCGCTGTGATTTTTGCTACTACTGCCAGTATTCTAAGCCTCAAGAGTTCGAAGGGCTCTCTCCATGAGACCGAGTCGTGCCAGTCGCCGCTGTCCAGCGAGAAGCCATCCGACATGGAGGCTCCGGTGCCAGATCCGAAGGCTTCCTTGGGAGGGTTTAGGGTTGAGGGTTTAGGGGTTTAGGGTTTTAGGGTTTAGGGGTTTAGGGTTTAGGGGTTTAGGGTTTAGGGCTTGAGGGTTTAGGGTTTAGGATTTAAGCGTTGCACGTCTAGAGGGGTCTAATTGACAAAGGTGCTCTGCGGACTTCCTTGGGCTTCGGGCTTTCGGGTTTGGGATTTGAAGAAGGAGGGGGATTCGGGCTTGGTTGGGGTTAGAGTCTAAGTCTCGAGATGCCCTTTATGTTCATGATGAGCTACCCGTAACCCCTAAACCCTAAACCCTAAACCCTAAACCCTTAAAAAGTGATTGCTTATATGCAGATGCTACGAAGGAGGGCAGAGTTGATGAAGCTTCGGGTTCGCGGGGGTGAATTTACGTTTGGTGTAGGGCCCACAGGCATGGTTTTTTAGTTTTATCTAGAGCATATTTCAGGGCCGACATCTTGAGCATAGGGCTTTGGAGTTCAGTATGCTTCAGTTTAGCAGGTGCTATGCATCTCAGCTTCGTCCGCAGCATTGATGGCGTCCGCAGCATTTCCCCACTGCTGCGCCACTTTGCTCAGGATCTGCTCAGCTCTTTGGTCTCTCTCTTTCTGCTGTTGCTGCTGCTGCTGTTGCTGCCTTGGTTCATCGGTATCTTCTCAATGATAAGGGAACCCATTCTTCTTTGTTCTGTTTCCGTAGGGGAAAACCCCAGAAGTAAAGCGGCAAAAGAGGTACTACTGAGGGGCCCAGCTTCTGTTGCTCTTGATCGCCTTCCCCATTGTCATCCTCTTTCTCGTCATCTTTGTCGTCGTCTTCGTCTTCATTCTCCTCATCCTCCTGATCCTCCTGATTCTGCTGACCTCCACCTCCACCTTCGCCCTTGTCTTCCTGCTCCTGCTGCTCCCCGCTTCCTCCGGAGCCGCCTCCTTGGCCCTCAGACTGCTCCTGAGCCGCCACAACCCTAGACCCTAAACCCTAAAACCTTAACCCTAAACCCTAAAACCCTAAACCCACGAACCCTAAACCCTAAATCCTAAAGCCGTAATTAAAACCGAAAACCCTAAGGGCCTAAAACCCTAAAACCCATAAACCCCTAAACCCTTGGCCCCTCAGGCTGCTCCTGCTTCTGCTGCATGCTCTGGTTGTGAAACTCCTCCAGCGCTTCGAGTAGGCTCTCCTTGGAGGCATCGGTTTTTGTTTTCGACGGAAGTTTTGGAGGCTTAGGGTTTATAGGGCCTAGGGGTTATATAGTGATTAGGGTTTAACTTAGGGTTTAGGGATTAGGGCGTAGTTAAGGCTTAGGGTTTAGGGTTTAGGGATTAATTTAGGGAGCAACAACCAAGCCGTCCCTTGTAAGAGATGAGATGGACTATTAGCTGTATACACGCAGAGACTACCTGCAAAAAACGGGCCAGTTGAAGAACACCTAGTCTCGAGCAGCGGGTCGATCAGCTTCGGATACCTGCGCACGAGCTGAGGCAGCCCTTTGTTGATCAACAAGTCCTGCCAGCGATTTCGCATTCCCCGCTCCGCTGGCCAGTTCGCGCCTTTCCTGGCTCCACAGCTTTAGGGTTGAGGGCCCATCGAGATCAGTTTGAAGGTCTAATGTAGGAACCTGATTGAGAAACCTTGGGCCCTTTATTAGGGCTCCGGGCTCCTTATATGAATCCTACTATTTTGGCGTTATAGGCCCAGGGTTTCTTGGTCAGGTTCCTACATGAGGAGTTTTGGGGTTACGGTTACTGCTGCAGGCTCTGGTGACGCATCTCAGGATGGGAAGACATGTGACTTTGGGCCACTGGGCTTTAAGGTTCCAACGGTGCAGGGCTACTCTGAGAAGCTCGGCTTATCTTGGATTGCGATGTTCAAGGTGCGGCAGCCGAAATGAGACGTCCCCGAACAAGGCCAAGCCACAGAAAAAAAACTCCCTACTATGTAGGGGCCTTAATAATTACCTGTACAATTTTGGGGGCTGCTTTTCATAATTATCGTATAATGGGCCCCAAAACCCTATTCTAATTGTTAAGGCCCCTATATTAGTCAACCACAACAATTTTTCCAAGGTGCTCGTCCTTCCAAATTGTGCCTCGGCTGCGCTTGCTTCGCCCACACGACATGGGAGGCTTCGGCCGTTTTGCAGGAAGGGCTGCGACAAAACGAGTTTTAAACTGGATAAAGCCAGCTTGCGGCTGATGATTGCAACACCTTTCGGTATCGAAAAAGCCGAGAAAACTACAGCTGTAGTATCACCCACCTCTGGCAGCAGAAACCACGAACTTCTTCAGTCAAATCCCGTGTTTCAATGCTACGACGATTCTTAACACTATTATTGCCATTAGCTTATTACCCTTATATTGTTCTTAATAGTTATTAATGTATATCTTGCCAATGAGGATACACCCGCAGGTCACTCGCAGTTCTCAAGAACATCTGGACAAGGTTCTTCTTGGCATTATCCCTGCTACTGTCCTTGACGGTGCTTTCATCAAGATCTCCTAACACCCCAAAGTCCCTACCCTAAGAAGCCCCAAAATCCCTAAACCTACCAGGATCCCTATAAACCCCAACCCTGAACCCTACCATGACCCCACTATGAACCCTAAATACAGGGCCTTTATAATTAGAATAGGGTTTTGGGGCCCATTATTTTGATAGCGATAATAAGGAACCCCCATACTATTATGGGTAATCATTTAGGCCCCTAGATGGTAGTTTCCGAAAATGAGGGGTACCTTATTTGGGGGTCCTTATAATAGGGATCCTACTATTTCGGGTAATTGCTACATTAGGGTCCCCTATTTTCGGAAATTCCCCTATAGTATGAACCCCTAAAACTCTTCCGAGGCGCCCCGGCCGAGAGCGTCCTGCCAGGTCGCCAGGCCTTTGGCCGCCCGGCTGAAGGCGTCGGCGTTGCCACCAAGGTCGGCACCTTCCGCCTGGCTTCCGGGAGGGTGTTTTTTTTAAAAAAAAGAAACCTTTTTCCACCTGCAGGTACCGGGAGGGTGTTTTAAGGTTTAGGGCTTTTGTGGTTAAGGGTTTAAGGGAAAGGGCTTTTTTGGTAAGGGTTTTGGGGGTTTGGCGGTTTAGGGGGTTTTTGGGTTGAAGGGATCAGGGTTTAGAAGCTTAGGAAGAGTTTAGCAGTTTAGGGGTTTAGGTTTTATGAGGTTTAGGGTTTAGAGCTTCGGGGTTTAGGCTTCCTTCAGCCTGGCTTGAGGAAACAAAGCGCATAGGGCTTGCGGGGCGTAGGGGGTTTACGGTGTTCAAGAGGGTGGGTTTGGGGACCAGATCCCTCAACTCCAACCTATCCTACTGTTGATGATATAAATCCTGCATGGCCTTAAGGACCCTAAACTATGGGAATAATGGTATATTCCTCATTATGGTTGATGCAGGATTTATATCATCAACTGTACGTCGGAGAAACTTCTGCGCGGCCTCGGCGACACGCATGAGAAGCGGCCAGAGGGTCTTGCTGACCTCGGACAGATGGGTTCCCGGGTGGAGGGTTTAAGGGTGCACCTTGTTTGTAGGGTCCCTATAAAAAAACTAGGCTTTGGTAGGTTAAGGTAGGGATTAGGGCCGAGTAGGGTTTCGGGATGGTATGGTAGCTCGGACAAGAAACTGCGTCTAACAGAAAGTGCTGATGTGACACAGCTCCTGGCCGTCATATCCGTCTGAAACTCTGCCCTAAACCCTAAACCCCCAACCCTAAACCCCTAAACCCTAAACCCAAAACCCAAAACCCTAAACCCCAAACCCCTAAACCCCATACCCTGAAACCCTAAACCCCCAAACCCTAAACCCCTAAACCCCAAACCCTAAACCCTAACACTGCGACCTGCACTGTCTTAGTAATGGCAGGCTACTGCAGCTGCCTAGTGTCACTCCCGCAAGAAAAGATGAAACCTCTTACTGGGCTTTTAAAGCATAAATCTGTATTTCATAATGGTTCCTTTTCGTAAGAAAAAATCTTGAATTATGGTACTCCAAAGCCCAGTTTAGGATTTAAAACCCATGAACAAACAAACACGCTCAACACCCTAAAGCCGTAGAGCAAACACACTAACCTGCACACACTCGCTCGATTGGGTGGGTGAAGCCCGCCTTTGCTTCGAGGCCATATCTCCACAATTGCACTTTGGGGTACGCCACAGCGGCATCTAAGCACAAATGCTATCTGCGTACCACATCGCCGCAGGCGAGATCAACCCTAAAATCTGAACCCCCGTCAAGAGCGCAGATTGATGTGCTTTGCGCTCTGGGCTTGCAAGGCTTTCAAAGGGATCTGTAGGGGTCTGCGATTTCTTCACTCTAAAGCGGCCTGACTGCTTGGATAGGTGGGCCTCATGCGGGTCCTTTCGATGTAAAGTGTGGCGCTGCATTTACTCAGGCCGCGAATATTAGATTCTAGGTTTCCGAGAAGGCCCTTAATCATCAGGGTATCCCTTTTCCGGCGGTTTGGCTTTAATAAGGGATCCTAAAAAAATCAGAAGGGTACTACCGAGTAGCCTTGGATTGAGGGGATTCAGGAATTTTAGGCCAGGGCACCTTTGACAGATGCCTCCAAACCTCGTCCGGCATCTTGTTGTCATCCGCGCTGGGCTCGCTGTTGGGCTCACTGTCATTCCTTACTCGTAACGTACAACTTCCCAGCTAAACTGCAGGTGAACCTTCGGGATAACAATACAAACAACCCAAAAAGGATAAAGCTTGCTTACTCTTCTACCGGGACAGTATAATGCCGCAATTTTTTGGAAAAGCTATCAGTAAACCTTAAACCCTACTAAACCCTTAAACCCTAAACCCTAATGGCTTCTTACTCGTCGGCTGAGATTCTGCAGCGGTGAAATTCGTCCAGCAGTCAGCCACCGATTTTGGCGGGCACACCGTCGGGCGCTGTAGAACTGAAGGATGCCGGCCTCAGAGGTTTGATTTGGGTTTTGGGTTTAGGGGTTTAGCGGTTTAGGGTTTCGGGTTTACGGGTTTAGGGTTTAGGAATTCCGTAGGGCCCTCAAGTATATACAACCATACTGACGCCATATCCTACTCATGAAGGCCCAATATTAAGTGGCAGTGCCTTTCCTCCGAGCCACCAATAAATAGCCCTTAATTTAGGGGCATACCCTCCGTTATAAGTCGCTTACTACCATGACTCTGATTTGAGGAAGCTGCTTCTAAGAAAATCACCTTCAACTGATACGGGCCTTCTTCGGTTGATGATATAAATCCTGCATGACCCATAATAAGGAATATACCATACTTCCCACATATGCTTTATTGTGGGTAATGCAGGCTTTACATCATCAACCGTTACTCCGCATTATGGTATGTTGCTTAATTCAGGTGGCGAGCTGGCAGGTCCAAAGCTTCGCGTTCCAAGCTTCAGAGTTTAATTAGTAGTACTAGTAACAGTAATAGTACTAGTACTAGTAATTGTAGGGTTTAGGCCTTTCAAACAGCTTTCTGGCGATGCATGACGACGCAACACTAGGAATGCCAAATCAAAGATGTACTCATGAAGGAAAAGCATCATGCATGCTTCCCGGCGATGTGGATAGTGTGGTCATGACTCCTTCCGCGAAGCTTTAGCTCAAAACATATATCTCAACGTCCGCATTTCGCGGCCGAGGCGCCCCAGCCAAAGAGGCCATCGCAGGATTCCAGGCATCCTGCCTTCCGACAGCTCTTGAGAGTTTCCGAAAATTAGGGGTACCTCATCTTGGGGTCCTTATTAACAAGGATCCTACTATTTAGGGTGCTATATTAGGGTCCCCTATTTTTGGGAAACTCCCTCTTGGGCAAACAGGAACAGTGGGCCCAGGAGGGCCCAGAACCCACCAACTAAAGGTCCGAACTCGTGGAAATCTGAGGTTAGAAGTATGGGCCCCGAATGTGGACCCTTAAAGCCTTAGGCCTTTTTGAGGGAGTTCTAGGGACCCTTAAGAGCCTGCATAGAGGATCTATTCTGAAAGCAGGGCGTCGGGTCGGGATCGGGGCTCGGGGCCCAGGGTTCGAGGCTGCGGGTCTGAGCCTAACCCATGCTGCAGGGCTGAACGGTTTAGGGTTTAGGGTTTCGGGTTTAGGGTTTAGGGTTTAGGCTGAATTAATATTCTTTCATGAACCCTAAACATATTGGGGAAAAAAATATTTCTTCCCCAATATGTTTGGGGCTGAATTGGTATTCTGTCATGAACCCTGGCATCGAAGATGGGCCTCCCAATCTAATTTGAATAGGGATTTGCTGGGGCACCGCATATTTTAGGAGCAGTCCAAGCCCAGCCGAATAGTAGTGATATTCATTCAGGCCCCTGTAGTAGGCTGTGTCTGCCAAGAGAGGGCACCTCGGTCTTCCAGAGATCCGTTGGAAGACGGGTCTCTCTGATGGCCTCAGGCTTAGGCTTTTGGATTTCGGGACGACCCTTGCAACGCAGAGACTCCAATATCCCTTAATTGAGGAATGTTCCTTAAATCATATTAGGGATCCTAGTATAATTTAAGGAATCATCCTTGCTTAAGGGATATTGGAGTCTCTGGGAAGAACAGCTTTGCACCGTCAGTCTCACCACCCACAGCTCGTCAACCCTGAAACCACAGACGAGCAAGCCAGAAGTCATGACACAAGCCCTTGAAGCAATGTAAGGCCCCCAAAAAGAACAAGCCGAACAAACGATCTACTGAGGGTGCGGCTGCGACCTTGCAGCTTTCGCGCTGGAAATCGTCGGGCGAGGCGTCGCCACCAACCACCCTTCCAAACAATGCCGAATCTGACAGGTTTAAGGCTTACTCATATGGTACCGTCGGAAAGTGAACGGCACGGGCTTTAGGATTCAAGGCTTGTGGAGGAACTAATTCAAAGGCGAGTCATCCCCAGAAACTCCACCAAAAACCAAACACATTCGCGACCTGCAAGCATCTATAGGAAACACATCACCTGCCGGCGAGCTGCTGCTCAGCTGCCTCTCCATCTGGGCGGCTCTTCTTCGCTAGGTTGATACCCTAAACCCTAAACCAAACCCTGAACCCAAACTCCTAAACATCTGCCCCCTAGAACGATAAATCCTAATACCGTCACGTGAAGCTCTGAACCGAAAAAGCTCATCTGCTCGCTGTCTTTGCAGCACTGAGACGTCAGACTCTTGAACCTCAGCTGCCAGAAGCGAAATCGCCTCTTTTTCTGCCGATGCAAGGTTCAGGGTTTAGGGTTGTTTAGGGTGTAGGGTTGATCAGGGCTTACGGATTGTCGCCTAGCAATTAGGAGTGCTCTGCGGCTTTGATTCATAGATTTGAGCTCTGTTCGTACACTACCATTTTTTGGTTAACTAATTAGAAATAGTAACTTTAAATGCGGTATACTTAATACACGTATTAAAATGTTCTGAAATGTCTCAGAAAGCTTCCACAAGGTCTTTAAACGGTTGCCATCAGTAGCCCATGTTGCCTGTCGGCGTGAAGTCGCTTAGCGTCTCTGGTGTACTTCAAACGACAGGAGCTTCGGTTTGAAGGCAGTGTCCAAACTCATGCGAGCCATCTTCTTATGCCAGGTCAAAGATCAAGAATGCGGCTCTAAAGGAACGCTGCCCGGGGCACGGGGCGCAGAAGCGGGGCCTACTCAGATGCGCATGCTTGTTGCAGGGAGCTAACGCAAAACGCAGGGCATTGTAGCTCAGGTGGTTTAGCCTTAGCTTGGGGGTTCGGGCTCTTGGCTAGAGGACGAACACCCCCGCCCCAAAGATAACCTCGAACCCCTCCACACGCTGAAATAGATGTCAGCCGGGCGCCTGCAAGCAGATAAGATCCTTCGTCGAGAAGCAGAGTTTTCAGAAGCTCTTGTGATGGCTGTATTACGTAGGGACTACAAGGGTGTATTGCTACTAAGCACTAGATTTCGGTTTCTGCGGCTGGAGGGAAGGGATCGGAATCCCCTGATTAAGGTATCTTCTTTCAGAGCCAAGGGTCCAATTTCTTCACGTCAGGTATCTTCTGTCAGGTTTTTGGGATGAGAAGACGGCTACGGTAAATCAGGCTTCACCCTACCGGTTCCAGGACTTGCGGCTTATCAGGGCTTCGAACTACAGGGTTTGAGGTTTCAGCGTTTCATGGTCCAAGGTTGAGGGTCTCTTGACCTTCACGGTGTAAGGCCTCAGGGCTTCTTTTTGTTGAACCCTCTTTTCCGTCTGCCTGAGGTTATCCGGAATGCCAGCAACGACTTAGGGTTCAAGGTTTTGCGGGTTGAGGGCTTCGGGGCTTCGATCATGTTGGGGTCGAGGGTTGCTAGCTGAAGGGGGTTTGGAGCTTACGCTCAGAGTCCTGAGCCAACAAACCTGGAGCTCCAGGCTGTCGGGCCTTAACGGTTTAGGGTTTAGGGTTGGTTTAGGGTTTAGGGTTTAGAGTTGGTTTAGGGTTTAGGGTTTAGGGCTTACTGTAGACCTTTGGAGGAGTTTTGCAACTTCTTACATAGCCCAAGCTCGGTCCTTGGCAACTGGGTTCTTGTGTTCGAGCCCTGAAACTATTCATGAGCAGAATCCTCCACAAGACCACACAGGAAATTTAACAGCATCCGGATGCAGTATCCCATACTGCCAGCTAGGCACTTCGCTGGGGTGATTTCCGTAAGGATTCCAAAGATCTTTTTTCGGGTCCTTGGGCCTTGACTGTCTGCAAAAGTCAATAGCAAGACTTGGCTGTTTTCTGAACCCCTCCAACAAGTTAGACTTTTTGCCTCCTTATTATTTTTTTCATATAGAAACCCAAAAAGTTAAAGTCTAAAGAGCCAACCAGAAGAACGCCAAGAAGAGTATATAATCAGACAATATGACAACGAACAAGAATAAGAACCATGATATTGATCTTGAGGGATCGGGGGTCGGGTGTTGCCCCCAGAGGGGGGGGGGGGCCTGTCCAAATTGGGCTCCACTACGGGTAGCCGTGTCTCGTTCGAAACAGAATTAGGGTTTGGGGTTTAGTTGTAGATAGGGCGTGACAAGAACCGATTAGAAAAATCAACCTCCTCTTATCATCCTTACACCCCGCACCTTGCTGTAGCCAAGCGTGCACGAAAGGCAATCCCGACTCCCGGACCTTGAGCCCGAATTCCTCAGTCGTAAGTTACTAAACCCTAAACTCAAAGGGGCAAACCCAAATCTCTAAATACTTCTGTCAACCCGCCCACTTGAAACCCTTTAGGGCTTAGTGCTCACCTCAACCCGCCAAAACTGAGAGAAGCACCGTGTGGTAGACCAGCACTTGCCTCTTCACCTTCGACTGACGCTGGACGCCTCGAACCGCTGCAGGGGTCAAAGTCATGTCTGTCCTCAACCCTTAACCCAAACACAAAACCCTAAACCCCACGATCGAGATAGCTCTCAGTCACCCGGAAATCCGAAGTCTGAACCCTACAGCACTCAAGCGCTCGGAACTACACTTCCAAACAATGCTTAACCCGAAACCCCTCCCCTCCCAGTCACGAAGCTGTAAGGAATTCAGGCACCTTTGCCCGACCTTGACCCAACACGCTGAACCCTATAGACCCCCATCCCCCCAAGACATGCCTACGAAACGGAAACCCCAGACCTGATTCAACCCTATAGTCCTTTTGCGAAGTAGTATACTTCAGACCTTTGGTTGATTTTAAAAAGAATTGGCGAACACCCCTGACTCAGTTCAACCCTATAGCGAAGCCAGACCCTTTGCTGATTAGAGAAAACACTATACTGAACTTAGAACCCTAGCAAAAAATATGATTTTAGCTGTTTCTTAGGAATTATGATTTTAGCTGTTTCGTAGGAATTATAATAACTTAAAAAGTAAAAGAGTATATTTCTAAGTACCCCTAAGAACGTGGCAGGCCCGATCTGGGTGCCGGGCCCAAGGGACTGGAGTCATTGAAGGCATCAGCAATGGAGTAGGAGAGGACGCTGAGCATTCCCGAGGGTGCCTTGTCTGGGCCAACCCGGTGGTTGAGCTTAGAGGTTGAGCCTCAGCTTGGTTTTGGGGTCCAGGCGCTGGGAAGAATCAGAAGGGTTTCTGTGACAGAACAGTCTACATGTTGCTGAAACTTAGTTCACTCATCGTCGAAACTCTACGGAAACGAGTCTGGATCGCAAGTTGCCATTGCCGACAAAAGGATGAATCTGAAGTCATATAGATAATTAGAATAGGGTTTGGGGGGTCCATTATGCCATAGTTATATTATAAGGAACCCCCAGAATAGTTTAGGTAATTGTTAAGGCCCCTAGATTTCTCCCTGAGCTCCTGAAAACTTTGAAACCCCAAAAGGCCTGCTCCCGCTGCTCCCGAGAGGCAGAGAGATACCTGGCCATTGGCCCGGTAGTTGTCACCCGGTATTCAATATGTAAATGCGTGCAGATATGTGTATGTACGTATGTATGTAGTTACGTAGGTATGTATGTACCTGTGTATCCATGCATGCATGGATGCCTGGATGCCTGTATGCATGCATGCAACCTTCCGAACAATCGCAGAAACAGAGGCATTCAGTGGTTCCAGGGTGAAGTCGCGGCATGTTTGAAGCTGAAGCTCCACCCGATGCACAATCGATGACGGCTGGGACACCCCAATGTATGGTGCCGATGTACCCGTGGACAAGTACTATAGTTAATAGTTCTGGAGATTCCCAAACCCCAAGGTTGAGGGTCTAAGCCTTGAACGCTAGAGGTCCAAGCCCCAAGCTTCGATCCCGGACCTAAACTAGGTTGGCCCTTTAAAGCCTCTGAAAAATAGTCGTAAATAGGGTCCTATTAAGCCCAATAAGGGAAAATGTACAATGTCCCAAAGGCCTACCTAGTAAAGCTTGAACCTCCGAACCCTGAACCCCGGAGGCTGAAACGAAAACCCGAGCAAACAAAGCCGACACGGGAGTCATCAACTTTAAACCACGATGTTCTGAACCAGGTCCCTGTCAGAGCTTCTAAGAACATGGACGCTTTCAAAAGCGGTGTAAAACGTAAGCGAAAACCCAAATGAGCACCGCTGTGGCAATGAGACTTTTGACTGCGGCGAGCCTGACAGCGGATGCCTCGGGCTGGCAGTAAGTTTACGGCTGAAGCTGATGAAAGGATCATGGATTATGGCATGAAGTTGACCGCAAACCTCATAAAGTTGGAAACCGGATTGAGGCCACATAGTGTTGGGATTCCCTGTGCATTACTCTTAAGGATTGAGGCTGTTGGGTGTCCAACTTTTGGGCTTCTGCTGTACTGTTGAGGCTGTTGAAACCCCAAAACGCAAATCCTACGCCCTTAACCTTTCGTTGGGCCCTCAACCCTGGTTCCTAACCCGTAACAAACCATTCAAGCTTGGCGATGTCAGCTAAACCCCTGCAGCCTAAACCCAAAATTCCTGAACCCTTAACCTCATGTGGGCCTGCAGCCTTCGATGTCCAAGTTCCACGACTCAATTAAGCTTTGCTTCGGGGGCTTACGACAGTTGGTTTCGGCTTCAGGGTTTAGGGTACTGTGGGGCGGGTGTTTAACGAGGGCTCCTCGACGCTGCTCAGAACAAACAGCGCTGTGACGGATTGTCCGCTTCGCCGCACACATACACACCAAACCCAATATCAAGTTGCCCAACACCTTTAGACCAAAACTTGATAGATAACTCATCTATATCAAGCCACTATCAAGTCCCGTTTCACGCAAGCAAAAAACTACTCTGAACTGCCCTCCCTCCATGCCACCAAACCCAAACTGAAGCCCCTAAACTCTCAACCCCCTGACTCTTGAATCCTATTGCCCCGGAGCCCTAAACCCCAAACCCGACCCATAGGCCCCATAGTAGTTCCTTCTTGGGGTTCAGATGTAGAATCCGAAAAGGCAATCCCAAAAGGGAACTACTATGGGGCCTATGGGTAAACCCTAGGCACTACGAAGCTAAAACCCTAACCCCGGCACCCGAAGAAGCAGACGGGGCCGCTACGGCGGCTTCCTGCACTCAAATCTCGATGGAC